AGCAAGCAAGCCAGGCAGGGAAGGTAGGTGGGTGGGCTGGCGGGCGGGGGTTTCTCTCCGGCTCCCTCTTCCTGGAATGCGCGTCCCCGCCGAGCTAGGGCGCGCGCCGCGGGTTCCCGAGTCTTGGCTTGCCTGCCGGCCGGGAACTGGGAAAGGTGGGTCGCGGGGTGGGTTTTTTTTTGGGGGGTGGGGGTGGCCAGGGACACTCGCGAGGCTTTGATTCCCCCCCCCTTGCAGGGGAAGGTCTAAGCGGGGGTTGGCCAGGTGGAGAGAGGGCTGGGCTCTGGGTTCTCCGGGGCGTCTTAGCTACATATAGATTAATCGAGTTGGAAGGGACCTTGGAGGTCATCTAGTCCAACCCCCCACCCCACACCATTCCTGACTCATGGCAGTCAAGTCTTTTCTTGAGAAGCCTCCAGGGATGGTAAATTAATTGACAGATTAACAGAGCTGGAAAGGGACCTTGGAGGTCATCTAGTCCAACCCCCCCGCCCAAACAGGAGACCCTACACCATTTCTGACAAATGGCCAGGTGGGGTGAGGCATTACAAGCTGCAGGTGCTCTAATTTCTCCCTCCCCCCACCCCCAATGCCCACCCTGGAAAGGCAGAGAAAGCCCCCTCCTCCCCCACAACCCCCTCCCCTCCCTGTCCAGCTCTCCGGTAGCATCGCTCAGCTGGCAAAACGGTTGCAGACGCCATTGCAATGGGGGGGGGGGAGAGAATATAGTGGGGTGGGGGAAACAAGGTGTTTTTTAAAAAAAAGATGACCAGGAAATTGAGCCAATCCCTCCGGCCTCATGACTGGACAGGACTGGACTCAGCAGCTGCCATTGATGATGCCTCTGGGGAGGGAGGGAGGGAGGGAGGGAGGGAGGATGGCGCTCAGCTCCACTTAGGAAGAAGGAGCGGAGGGTGGAGGGGGCAGGGAGGGGGCGGAAGGAGCGGGGGGGGGGGCAGCCAGTCCCAGCACATCCTTAAAAGGGGCCAGCGACTGAGGGAGTTAGGCCCTCCCAAGTAAACCTCCTGAAGAGGTTTGGCCAAGCCAGGATCAAGAGTGGGGGGGGGGGGGGGGGGGGGAGAGAGAGAGAGAAAGAGAGACAGAGAGGGAGGGAGAATAGATTGATGGAGATGGAGATATAGATAGATAAATAGATAATAGATCGATGGAGATGTAGGTAGGTAGAGAGAGAGAGAGAGAATAGGTAGGTAGGTAGATATAGATACATAGAATAGATAGACAGAAAAGGTAGAATAGATAGGTAAGTAGGTAGATAGATACAGAGACAAGATAGATAGATAGATAGATAGATAGATAGATAGATAGATAGATAGATAGATAGATA